GTATTCTCCGTGGTAGTATGGAGTTGTCTTGAGAAACTCAATGAATTGAGAAGGCCATGTGGGCGTGAAAGGAAATGAGGCAGCTGATAAGCTGACGGGGATAGGAGCAAACACACTCCTCTTGGGCCAGGACCCTTCTGTAGATTCGGAACAAAATACTTTTTGTTGGGAACAAAGAATCAGAGAAAAATGGATCGGAGCGTCATACCCCACATTCAGGAGGTGAGTTCACAATATATCTTTATACGTGTTCGCGGTGCATTATTACCATGGTCTTACAAAACTACATTTTTGAGTATGTGTGACACTTATTGCTTTTTATGTTTCTGGCATATAAGCGGTTAACAAAATATTTTTTAGGTTTGAACGGAAAAGGTAGACTATGAAATATATTATGTATGTAACTATATAAAAAAGTAGATTATTGTTGATTGACTTACATGTTTTTTGGAGCACGTAGTGTATATAAGATGAATTTTTTATAAAACATAGAATTAAATTTCATTGCGAATCATTCATCTTCTTCTCTAGAATAAATGGCCTTTAATAACAAAAGCCTATACAGATTTCTAAATCAAACTTATTCTGCGATTGAATGGTTAAAATAACACTAATATATCCAATATAGAAGAATTTCCAAAAAAAAAAAAGAAGGGAAAATTGAAAATTGATGAACTTATACCAATTTAATTGAAAATAATTTCATTTTATTTACACATTCAATTTAAAAATTTCCTATACTCATTTAATTAAGATGAAAATTAAATATTTTGTTCGTGTATAAAACATATTCTATATTATATGAAATTGTTATCCATTTATAAAATCTTTAATTCTATTTTTAATATAAAAATAATATTTTATCATTCTTTTATTTTATTTATAACATTTTGTATAGGGTATTGTATTGGAAGTGTGATTTTAATTTACCTTAACCAAATAATGTTCGAAAGAAATTTTATTTTTCCATGTTTAACAAGAAAATTTAATAAAGTGTGTAATAATAGTCAATCATTTATGTATAAAAGAATGAAGACGAAGAAGAAGAAACGAAAAAAAAGGGATACGAAATTTTAACTTATTTACAGTTCATATAAAGGTCCTTATAAATGATGGTTATTGTTTAGAAAACAATGATAATCACTAGTGTTTGTCATTTTGTTGTTTGCGTTTGATTTTGATTTTTTCTCGCTACTTGCTGTGAATATTATTATTTAAAATTTAACCCCTTATTAAATAATCTCTATTTTGTAAATATACAGTGTACTTATATAATATGTATATGCGTATATACAATGAGTGTTGTAAAAGTTTTGACATATTTAATATGATAATGGATAACGAAATTCTGGCTCAAGTTTTTATATTCTTCTAAAGGTATTATATAACAGTTTCAACATATATAACATAACACTCTTAATTATCACCATGTTATGCAAAAGAATTGCTGAAGTGAGCATAATACTCGCGCAAATTTTATCTGGTAGATGGACTTAAGTATGTTATACATATAAAAAAACTTATAAATTATAAACTTTAAGTCCGGAATAATTTAAATTTTTTTTTTTAATATTCTGGAATAATTGTGCGTTGCTACTCCTCTTAACTTCTGTTTTACTCTTGAATTCCTACAGTGTTATATAAATAATTGTTTTATATGAAAATTCTGTTATATATGAAAAATCGATCTTTATATTCCACACAAAAATGTGAAACCGCTTCACCTCAAATACTCCTTTATATACAATAGTGCTTCAATAAAACTATTATACCACATCTGCAATATTTTAAATTTATTATAGCATTATATAAATACATATATCGTTAAATAAAAAACCCTGGCATTGTTGAGAGTGTAATTTATACCTTAAGTGTTATACTATTAAATGGAACACATTAATACCACACGTCTAATGGCAACCCTGAATTTAACATTGTCAGAAATTCAATTATTTCATCGCATTTCGGATCAAATAAAATCAATTTTCAAAATATTAGCTTTTACAGTGATAGCTGCGCTTTTGTACAAATAAAAATGAATGCAACTGTATATAAATTTTCGTTTTTTCTTATTATTATTATATTCAATATTTTTTTTTATATATAATATGTACAGCTATTAAATGGCATGTTGTCTTTTACATCTTCTTTAATATTACAAATTAGGATTATTATTATTATAAAGGAATAATTATTTATTATAAGTACTTGTTTTTCATACATATACAAACATACATCCGTATACATTTGTTTGTGTATATGATACATAAAATCGAATGTCATGTATTTTATTTACATTTCATTAAAAAATAGGTAAAAATATTGGACTTATATGATTGAAAAGGAATTCTAAAAAAAATTAATCAGTATATTTGTATATGTAAATGTATATACATAAACTGTTATAAACACTAAGATTTGTGTAAAGAGTAAAGCTCTTCTTAAATTTTTAAATGTCAGATAAGTCACGTGACAACAATTACTATGGATAATAAACACTGAACTTATTCTTTTTATTCAATTATTATTCAAAGAAAAAAAAACAAAAACCATAACAAGAGGAAAATATTTTTTTTTTACCGTAATGAAAGAATAAATCCGATTATGAAAGTAATGAAATGTCTTTAAAAAAAAAGTTAGTTGGGATATAAAAGGGCGATTCCGAACAATCTTCTCTATATGGTTATTTTAAATATAAAAAAAAAAAATTAATAAGCAGGTTTCAAATATCCACCGTTAAGTAGTTTTTGTTTTATAAATCTGTTATACGTTTGTGTATACTCAATATTTTATAACAATAAAAAAAGCATTCACTTTTTATTTATTTTTTTTTTCCTTTAATGAGAACTTCTTTACTTGCGTATGTTTTTTTAAACTCTTAAGTTTGACAACATAAAAATAAAAGAATCCTTTTTGAGATTCTCTATATAGTCTATGTATATGTGTACAACGTACTATCTGGTGTTAAGATTATTATAACAAAAAAGAATTAAGTATACAATGGTATACAATACAAATTTATTGTAATAATTTGGTTGGATTATTTTATTCTGAGAATAAAAAACGGATGTATAAAGATCCTTGAATTTTTATAAAAATGAAAAAAAAAAAAAAACATATTTTTAATAGGCGAAAATATTCGGTTTCTTAAAAGAATATTATTTTCCGAAAACGATTACAGTCTTACACTTTAAATGACTCAGACAATATTTTTTGTATGTACATACATACATATGTACATATGTTAATTTGTGTGATTTAGTCAAAACAAGATTTGGGTACTTATAGCATTATACAATATGGCATAATGAGCAGTAGAATTTTTAAGAGAAAAAAAGTGACAACCAAAGGCTTAAAATATGTGTCCCTTATAATATATGATAGTTTTGTTATAATAATTTATTCAATTTGATTTCTTACAAAAATTTTTTCTTGGGTGTTTTCTCAACATTCCGTACATTTACCAAATTTTCTTTTTTTTGTAATTCTATTTAAATTGCAATAATAGTTTTAAAATAATGAGAGAAGTCAAAGAAAAATCAAAATTGCATTTATTTGGGGTATAATTGCATGAATAAATTTTACTCTCATCTGCAATTTTTGTCCATATTGTCACAGCGTGGGAATAATTCAACAGGTTATAGCAAGAAAATTATTGTTTTTATTAATCAAATTTCAAAAATTTTTTCATTTTAGATGAAATAAAGAGGTTGCAATTGAAAATGAATTAAAAATTAATACTCCAATATCGCGGATGTTGAGAATACAAATATTTTCGATTAGGAAACATTCAGACTTTTTGCCATTTCTCCCAATTAATTGTGTCCCGTCAAAATGCCAACAGCAATATTGAGATCCGCAGTCTTGATCTCTCGGTCTTGCCTGATTCCTCTTCGGTCGATTCCCTTGTCGTTGCACAAGTCCGAACGCCATTCCAAAGCGATAACTTTAAATATTATAAATCACAAGGTGAATTTTGTATATTGATTCTATATATGTAGATCGGATCAGGGTCTGTTTATTGAAGCTCTCATTTAAAGTGAAATACGGGTATATCGGATATAATGGAAATGTGGGGCATGTACAATTAATTTAATAATAATTTAATTTATTCGGCAATAATTTTACAGCTTCTTTAGCTATCTTTAGATATCTGTTCTTGCTTTTAAATTGCTTTGAAAATTTAAAAATTTTTTCAATTTGTTTGCATATTATTATATTCCAAATATAAAATTATTATGAATAGTTTTATTAAAAATATATTTATCAGTACTTTATGATTTTTATAATTTCATAGCTTAAATATTTACATACATACATATATGTATATTATTCAAAAGTGTTATAAGAATTAATACATCGTGTGTACCTATGTAATCTTTTTTTATTTTCATATAATTTGCCTCTTTTTCATTTTCACTTTTTATTTAAATTTATTTTTGGTATTCTAAATAAGAGTTTATTTTTAATTCTAAATGACTCATTTATTATTTATTTATATACATATTACAGTATATAGTACCAAAATATTTTATTTGACTCTTCATATTTTATCCTTATATGTAAATATTCGGTAGATTTCATTAATTTTATTTGTATGTATTTAATCATAGATGGTGCTTATAATTTTTTTTCCATATTTTTTGTCTGCCATCTACTGGTGAATAGAAAACTTAAAATAATTTTCTTATATTAATTATTTACATAGAATATAATATGTTATAATGATTTATAAAATATATATTCTCCTAATTTTTTTTTATAGAAAATAGTTTAAAATTTTAATTGATATTGATTTTTATAACAATACAATCCTTAATATAAATAAATAAAAGTGATGTTTAAATTTTCAAAATAAATGAAATAAAAATTTACTTTCAAAAATCAATACCAGAGTATTAAAAGTCATCTTGTTTTTTGTAGTATTAGAAGACGTTTAAAAAGAAAATTGACATTAAATATTACGTCATTCAATTTAATGACAATTAATTTGATGCTTGTTGCTTACCTTGTTTTCGAAATAAAGTTTGCTTTCGGTTTGTTTTTACTTGGTGGAACGTTTTTCATTGCCTGGTATTTTTATTTATATGATTTTTTTTTTATAACAAGTTAACATTTTTGAAGTTAAAATAAAAAAAAAAAGTGTTTGCAATGTTAAATAAACAAAATTTTATTAATATGGGAATACTATTTCTGCAATACATTATGCTAATTTTCATTATTTTTGAAATTAAAAATCTTCAGTCTTGAAACATTTTTCAAAAAAAAAAAAAAAAAAAAAGTTGGAGGGTACTTTATTCTCTATACTATAAATATTATTTAATATTACTAACTTTTTATTTTTTATTGCAATTTTAGATAAAATAATTTGCAACCTTGTGTAGAGATTTTAAATTGATTAAACAACATGGAGATGAAAATTCATTATTTTTCGTTTTCGTTTTTTTTTTTTCATAATTTGAATTTTTTTAATATTGAATACTAACCTGCTTGTCTAACCAACAATATTATACATATGTATATAATGTGTGTAGGTAAATACTTGCAAAAAGTTAAACAATTTTGGAATTTTATTTTTATAATGACAAACATTTTTGGTTTTTTCGTAAAAACGAATAAGAGGAAAAAGAAAAATCAAAATAAAAATCAAGATCATTTTGTGAACGATATTGCCTTAGAGTAAAAAATGTAAACTTCAAAATTAAAGATCTATATAGAAATGATTATATCAATAGAATATGTGTGAATGGGAAGCAACTATTAAATCAATGCACATTCATAATTTATTTTTAGAATTTCGAACGAATGGGAATAAAGATTATTTTAACGTAATAAAAAAAAAAGAAAATTTATATTTTTTTAGTGATTTTTAAAAAGTATTATTAAAACCACGATATTTTTTTTTTTCGTTTATAAATCAATTTTCTTTTAAATTTTGATTATTGATACACAAATCGAATGGATTGATTTACAAAATAATTTTTGATGATTTTAGTGTAAGTACCCTCTTAAAGAAAAAAGAAAAAAATAAAACACAAAACTTTTATACCTACCCCCTTATTTTTTTTTTTTTTTTTAATTTTCATGTATTTAGAAAAAATAACATTAGATGTTTTCTAATATGGTCATTATGGATGAGAAAAATTCATAAATTTTAATTTTCAGTTTGTATTTTTCATTTATTTTCCATATATTAGATTATATAAGTATAAATATATATTTTGTTGTCTATGTTAGTTTAAAATTTATGTGACAGAGTTAAGATCTTAATGGTAGAAAGTTTGTATACCTATTTCATTGAGAAAATAATTGAGTGGGTGAAATGATTTAAATATTCCATATTTGGATTATTTCTATAAAGGTATAATTTAATATACAAAACTTCAATTATTTAAATATAAAATGAAGTCATTATAAAATTTGTGTAAAATATTTTTGGTACTGTAACAAATTTAAAGTGTTAATTTATGCAAATTTCTCTCTACTAAATTATTTAAGTATGAGTAGCAGAATTTTTGACAATTAATTTTCTTAATTAAAGATGTGAGAAAAAATGGTTTCCATGTGAATTATTTGCAAACATATTCTTTTCAAAAATTATCCTATAATTTCTTAAAAAATATGGATGAGAATAAAAAAACAAAATTAGGCAATGAAATTACAATTTTAAAATCAACATGTTACAAAATTACTTTTCATCTTTATTTATTTGAATGGGGTAAATCATTTTTTTTTCAAATTTATTTATATGAATTGGCAAATAATTAAAATTTATATTAAACAATAAAATTATATATGTACATACATACATATATCAGTTTTATAAATTTTAATATGTTTTCTGTAAAAAAATTTTAATTTTTATTTTGAAATTTGTTAAAAAAAATTATATATATTTGCTACAACTTCTTACTTTTATTGTAATTTTAATTTTTTCAAATTCTTTTTTGCTTTTTTCTATGCTTTATAATTAAAATTTTGATGCTATATTAAAAACTAATTAAAATATTTATCTTTTTAATTTAAATTCTTTACAATTTTTATTTACATTACTCTTATGTATTTTGTTAATAATTTCAGTTTCCGTGCTGGTGTTTTATCATCTAAGTGACAATGGAAAAGGATTATTATAAAATTTTAGGAATCCCAAGAAATTCTACTGAAGAAGATATTAAAAAGGCATATCGGAAACTGGCTTTGAAATTTCACCCGGACAAAAATAAAAATCCTGGTGCAGAGGAGAAATTTAAAGAAGTCGCTGAAGCTTATGAAATTTTATCTGATAAAAAGAAGAGGGAAATATACGACAAGTATGGTGAAAGTGGAATAAAGAGAGGTAATTTCAATGTATTATATTAATTTAGAGAACAATTTAAAATTATTGCAAATTTTAAAATTAATAATAAATTACATAATTATTACAATATCATTATTATAATAATATTATTATATCCTACTTTATCATTATATAAAATAGACTGATCGATTTTAATTCGGTTTGTTCCTATTAATAATCTATTTGTAGAGATATTGGAAGCTATTCCTGTTTTAAATTAAGAATAATCAAAATTTTAATATTAAATAATTTAAATAAATTAAAATGATTTATTAAAAAATTTTATTTTCTCAAATACAGGTGCAAATGGTACAGGAACTAACACAAGCAACTTTAACTTCCAATTTCATGATCCTAGGACAATATTTGCTCAATTCTTTGGTTCAGCGGATCCTTTTGCTTCATTTTTCAGTTTTGGAACAGATAATTTATTTGACAACAATATATTCGATCTTGATAATGATCGAGATTTTTTCTCACCAAGATTTGGATTAGGAGCGCGACATGGATTAGGTGGAGCATTTAGGTTGGTATTGTCATTTTTGAATTTTTTTTATAAATACGTGCATCGTTAAAATAATCGTTAAAACAATTGATTTTCAATTAAAATATAAAATCATACTTAACAGCGGTAATAAATTATTTTATATATAAAAAATTTAACAGACACATCCAAACATTCTTATATACCAGTTGTAATTTAGGTTTCTTACCGTTTAATAGAATGTTGTAGTAAATTTTATATTTATAAAATATTTAAAAAATTTTATTTTCAGGTCACATTCCTTTAATGTACATGCCCCACTAAAAAAGGAAAAACCTCAAGATCCACCGATTGAGCACGATTTATATGTTACTTTAGAAGAAGTTTACAAAGGATGCACTAAGAAAATGAAAATATCTAGAAATGTTATTCAACCAAGTGGTGTAACTAAAAAGGAAGATAAATTTTTGAAGTATAATTTCATTATAGTTAATTGATCCGATAACATTTGTAACTATAAAATAATTTTTAGAATTTCAATACAGCCTGGCTGGAAATCAGGTACAAAAGTTACTTTTCAAAAAGAAGGGGATCAAGTACATGGAAAAGTGCCGTCTGATATTATTTTTATTATAAGAGATAAACCGCATTCGCTTTTCAAAAGAGAAGGAAGCGATTTAAGATTTACGGCGAGGTTAACTTTAAAACAGGTTTGTAGTAATGATTCTCCCTATTTTTTTTTTTATCTTCCATACTATTTTATTTTGAATAGTAAAAGCAAAAAATTTTATAAATTAAATATTAAAAAATTTTATATTTCAGGCACTTTGTGGTGTAATATTTGAGGTGCCAACATTATCTGGAGATAAATTGCGTATTAGTACTATGCAAGAAATTATCAAACCTAATACAGTAAAAAGAATACAAGGATATGGGTTACCTTTTCCTAAAGATGTATCAAGATTTGGTGACCTATTAATTGCTTTTGATATTCAATTCCCTGAAAAACTAACTCCAACACAAAAGGATTTACTTCGAGATATGCTGTAATAATCTTTCTTTGTTTCTGCAAAACTGGTATTCCAAGTCATTGCCTTTAAGTTCTTTAGAAATAAACTCAATTCATGTGCTACCATTCTTGCATACACCACATATTGCAAAAAAAAAAGTGAAAATTCAATTATCTGTTTGTTATTTTACATATTTATTTCAAAAGTGTTTTTTTTTTTTTTTTTTTTGTAAATATGTAAATTAAGTTGTGATGATGTAAATAAGTTTACCAAATAAATAGATTCATCTATTTTTAACAACAAACATTTTAAATTTTAAAATTATAAGTATTTTAGTGAAGTTTTCAATTAATGTTCCATCCATGAAACTTTACAACGATTATATTATTATAATAAACTGCTAATATTTACAATATCAAGAAATATTAATGAAAAAAATTTTAAAATATTTTATATCCTTAAATTTTGTATTAATTAAATGACAGAAGTTAGTATGAATTTTTTTAAAATATTATTCTGTGGGAGTTACTGAATGTTATTTAATAACCTATTTATAGCAATATACATAATATGAAATTCAATTAATAGTTAATGAGTTTAGAAACATGTTAATGCATTAAAATAACAGTTCCAATGTATTGTACTTCCGGGAGTTTCGTCCGTTTTCTGTTCACGTTGCATTCTTCTGCGCATCGAATTGATTTTTGCCTTTTTTTTTTAACAAAATAGTAATATAGTTAATTTTCATTTAATTAAGATTCTTATACATACCTTTCTTTCACTTGATTCCAAAATATTATTTGTTTGTTCATTCTCAGATATGTCATATAAACTGGGCTCGTCTAAAAGGAAACTTATGATAATCTAATTCAAATAAAACTATAATAAATAATTTTTATTTCGATTATTAAAAAAATTTTTAGTGATTAATTGTTGCCTTAATTTTTGATATTATTTTAAAATTATTATTCATATTTCGACAAAAATTCAAAAACATTCAACCTATAATTAAAAAAAAATCTAAAATTTTAGAAATATTAAAAAATTGAAGTTTAATTTTAATTATGTATTTAAAGTTTTCAAGCTTCTACTCAATAGTAGACTTAGAAACATTTTAATAAGGAAATTTGGTTATGCAAAAAAAAAATTGTAATTTCTATAAGCAGTAAGTATTAAAGAAATTATTTTAAGTACAATTAAAAAAAAATTTTATTATAAAAAGTAGACTTATATTTATAATTTTGTATAATTTTATATTCATATTTACATTACCATTTTTATTAATTGCAGTTTTCGGATCATCATCATTAATTTTATTTTCTAAGGCGTTATTTAGTGCTATCATAATTCGATCTAAAAGTATTGCTGCTCTCTTAGGTACAACCATCTGTATTGCAATTTTGAAAAAACAAAAAAAAAATTATTAGCGAAAAATACCAACATAACTGCTAGCATTAATTAAACACTAAATTTGATATTTTATTGAAATTTAATATTAATATTTTGGCAATTTTCACAAATTTCTTTAATTAATTTTACATTTTTAATATTCGAAAGAAATTTAAGGTTGAGAAATTTGAGTACTTTTGTCAATTAACTAATTAAAATTAATTGCGGCTTTATAATTTGAATATTCGTCATCGATTGTGTCTAGCCATCACTTTTTAACACAGTCTTAGTTATTTTATTTATTTGAAAATTTGGATTTTCTTTATTTATGATTAAAATTCTGTTTTTTTCATTGAATGCCACGTAAAGAATAATTGTACATACATATTATTTGATAATTTTTGTTAGTTTAAAATGAAGAATTTAATGCACTTTTAAATCATAGTAAAATGAAATTAATTTAAAGACGTTATTAATCCTTAATTTAACAATAATTTTTATAATTATTTTAATTGATATTAAATAAGAAAATTAAGATAATTAATTTATTAAATTTAAATTTTAAGTTTATTTTTATTTTTTTATTTAAAAATTTCATTTTATTAGCACGATTTTTTTTCTATTTAAAAAATTATATTTTAATTTATATTTTACAAACAACTCAAAAATTTAAATTAAATTAAATAAATACTTTCCGGGAATTCATCGTATGTTCCATTATTACGACCTTGTTCTAAATAATTTCTTTTAATTGTATCAATTTTTGGAAATTCTTTATATGTTTTTGATTTTAATATTGTCATTACAATAAATATACAATAAATTTTTGAATATGCACAATACATTCCGCTACAATTATATGTTTAATCCAAGACGAATTTTAAAATAATGACCATTATATAAAATATAAAAATGTTTTTATATCCGAATATATATATATATATATATATATATAATATACACATACAATAAAAATGCGACTTCATATATATATATATATATATATATTTTACATTTTAATGTGTATGCATATGAGAATTTTTATAAAAGGTCCAAATATACAGCAGGATCCTCTTTAATAAAGATGCATGTTGTTAAAAGCAAAAATATGTACAACATAAGATTAAAAAGCAAATTGGTAAATCATTTTCAAATAAACTATGTATGTATATAAAATGAAAAATAAAATAATGAACCCTTAATTCTACGTATGTTTGTAAAAAACAAAAAAATTATAACACACATGTCATTATAATATTATATATAATAGCAATATTGTATTGCATAAGAAGCATTAAGGAATAAATAAGAAAAAAAAATAAGAATAAAATATTGAAAGGAAAAATAAATCCCTTTGTAAAATAATAATTTTTCCAGTAATTTTCCCCGAGTTTTTTTCTGATTATCGCTCAAATTATTTTTGTTTTAATATTTTTTTTGGTTTGGTTTTCTACTCTTCTTGTTTGGTTCTTGCACTTTAAAGAAAATTTTTCTGTAGAAGTAAATTTCACATTATTAATTTAATGTGCATTATTGCCCAATTAAAGATTACGAATTTTACTGTACATAACGATTTTGGATTACACAATTATACTTTTAATGAATTATTCATTTTAGTTTCATATTTTTCATATTTTAATAATAGATTGAATTCTAGAATTATAAATTTTTAATAATGTTTAGCTGAAAATTTTTAATTTAAAAATTATAACAATAAATTTTTATTTTTGCATATATAGGAGCATATTACTTTTCAACTTTATTATTATTTTTTTTTGTTTTTTACATAATATTAATGATAATTATATACTATACGTATTAATAATTAATATATTTATTAAATATACATGATTAAAAATTTAAAAATAAAAAAAAAAAATTTTTTATAATTAGTTATCCAAACTTCGTGTCACAGGAGAATTGAGATGCCATCAAGAACTTGTAAATGGAAGTTGTAATTTACATTATAAATATATTAATTTTGATTTACCTTTGAAATATACGAAAAAAAAAAAATATATATATGAATTAGTAAATTAAATAAATATTTTTTAAAATTAATATTTTTAATTGGATTCAAAAATCGGATTGATTTAACCAAATTCGCAATTTTATTTCTTATATAATTAAAAATTTAGTTTTGAATTTTTCGAATTTTATAATTTAGTCTAACTAATACTCTAATAAAATTTTAATTTTACTTGATTTATTCAGCAGTAATACCTTTATAATTGCAGAATAAACCAAATTTATAAATTAATTTGTCCTTTTCGATACTACTGACTTCAAAATTGCAATAACACTGATTTCAAATTATATGTTGTAATTGTTGAATAGTGTAGAAAAACAGTGTGTTAATGTAATATTGAAATGACACATATGTATTTAGTATTTTTTCACTTATTTATTTTTATAAATTAAAAATATAAAATATATTTACTCACTTATTTTCTGAAACATGAAATGGGATTAAAGTAACATTGTCTATATCTTTGTTGTCTTTTGATTTCTGGATTACGAAGATTGGCATCAAAATTATTTCCGCTATAAATATAAAAATTATTAAAAATAACAAAATTAAAAATTATTTGTATATATTTTGTATAAGAATTGTTAGCAATTTAATAATAATTATGCATTATTCAGCACATTATCCATATAAACTGAATTCATATTTAATTGCATTTTGATTTTTAATTTTAAAAATTTTCTGTTTTTAATTCTAAAATGCTTATATAATAATAATTTGCAAATAATCACTGGTTATTTTGTTAGTCGTATCACTTAAAGCGATTAGTTGTTATTCAAATATTTTAAGTATTTCAGTATAAAATCATTTCCAAAAGTTGAAATTTTATACTAAAAAACAAAATATTTTTCAATAATTCTCCATCACGTCGCAATGATGCGACTAACAAAATATGAGTGAATTGTTTTTTTTTGTTTTTTTCCTATACTTACTTAGCAGATTTCATTTGTTTTAACCACAATTTCAATTTATAATAGGGGATTTTATCATCTTGATATGAATTTTTCATTTCTTCAATTAATTCATTCAAATTTGATCCAAGTGTTAATGTATCCTATACAATTAATATATTTTGTATTCGAAAATAAAACAACAATGAAAAATAATTAAAAAAATTTTCAATTTGAAATTTTCAAAATTTTTCAAAAAAATATAAATATAAATTTTATTTTATTTATGTATGTATGTATGTATGTATATACCTGTTCATTTTCTGCTAACATTTGTGAATTAACTTGTAATGTCATCAAAAATATGAGTGTTATACTCAAAATAATTTGACTTACTTTGCTGTATTTCATTTTTTTCTAAAATATTTAAATACATAAGAATTTAATTATAATAAAAAAAATATAAAAAATTTGTTTTTATATAATTTTTCAATATTATTGAAATTTATTTCTAAATATTTGTTTTAAAGTGATTTAAGCGCAAATTATAATATATTTTAAAACAAATTTTATATTACAAAAATTTGAATAAATATTTCAATTAGGTCGAAATTTCCATTACCGTATTTTCTATTACCGTATTTTCTATTACCGTATTTTCTATTACCGTATTTTCTATTACCGTATTTTCTTGTACCATATTTTCTATTACCGTACAATTTAAATATAAAAAATTATGGAATTTTAACTATCTAAAATTTTATATTAATTAAATTTTTACTGTAAATATTGGGAAATTTAAAAAAAGAAATGTACAAATTAAAATCATCTCTATCTTTTACGTTATTTCACAGAGTTGCCAATATATTTTTTTGTTTTTTCTCAAAAAATTCTATTATAAATCATATTTTCTTATATTCTTCATTTACAATTAATTTTCTATTAAATAGGAATATACTATTATAAAATAATAAATTATAAATTCTATAATAAAATTTTTCAATTAACTGAAATTATTTTGAAGTACTTTTTACGTATATAACAAAATAATGCGAAAAATTTTTGATAACATTTAATTTCTCAGTATTTTAAAATATTAATTAACATAAAATAATTAATAATTAATTTATTATTCAAAACAAAAAAGAAGAAAAATATATTTATATATTTTCTATTAATTCAATTTAAAGTGAATTAATTAAAAATTTATTTTTTTCTCTTTTATTATCCTTAAAATTTTTTATATATCTATATAATAGATAATGTAAGTAATTTTATGTACATATTGTTATACACAGTTATTATAAATGTATATATCTTACGGTTCATTATAAGAAGGAAAATAAAAATTAATTATTCAATTTGAAAGAAGAATAACAAAAAAGAACACTCTACCTAGGCCCATATAAAAATTTGAAATTTAATTTTTCTTTTTTGAAATTTTTACTCTCAATTAATTTTAAAAATTTCAATTTTATTATTTAATTTTATTTAATTTTATTTAATTTAATAAAATTTTGTAAAACATTAAAAATTTTAAACTCACTTATTTTAAATTTTTGTGTTCGAAAAGATTATATAAGAATTAAAATTTTTGTTATATTTCAAATTTCCAAATTTTGAAAAAAAATTAAATTTTTTTTCTATTATTTTTATTTTTTTTTTTCTCCAAAATATTGTTTTTATGATGATCTCTCTTTGATATCAAAATCTCTCTTAAATGTTTGATTTGAAAAAAATTAAGATACCTTAACTGTATGACAAAATGTAACTAACTGTACTATTTATCGGCGTTCATAACCTATTTATGTAATTTTCATAATCAAATGCGTTGAACGTAAAATAAAAAAAAAATAATAAAAAAATACAGAAATGAAAAAAAAATATGTAAGGAGATTTCAATTTTATAGTATTCAGATTTTTTATTATATTTTTTGTTGTTTTTTGCTTTTTTTTTGTTATTTTTGTTGTTCTTGCTTTTATTTTCTAATATATTCAAAATATATTATAAAAGCTACTCGAATATATAGGATATATAGGATTTAACCATTTAAGATCCTTTCTATACATGATAGGAATATGACATTTTAAATAAAAAAAAAAATAAGAAATAAGAAAATTGTTGATTTCTTAATATTGTGAATAATTATTCTGAAATACGATAAGAATAATAATAAAAACAAAAAAAAAAAAAGGATTTAGCTTTTGACTGATTTTTTTTCTCTTGTTTTCTTCTTTGATTTTATTTGTTTTTCTTTCTCTTTTTTTTTTTTTGTTTTTGTGTGTATTTGATTAGAAAACTTTTGTAACTTTCTGTTTTCTTTTTTCTTCTTCTAATTTTCATTTAATTTTCTATTTTGTTTTTTATTTTGTTTCTATGTAAAATAGAAAAATTAAATAAATATTTTATATATATAGTAGGTATTTTATTTTATAGTACTAACATTATATAAAAAAATAATAAATAAAAAATAATAAAGTAATTCATGAGTAAAACACCATATTTTCCTTATACAAACACAAAGTACAAATAGATTCCTGTATATATATATATATATATATATATATTTTCATACCTATATAAAGAGAGTATATATATAAAAAAAGTTTATATATCAAAATGTAAATAAATAATAAATATATCATACAATATATCATAAAGCAATAAATCAAAAAATTATACTTTACTAACTTTTAGCCTTTTTAAACAAACTACAAAAAAAATATATTGTAGGTTGTTCCCTCTGACCAGGTTTTTATTTATTTTTTTGTTTTTTATTTATTGGTTTTTACTTATTTTCTAATTCTAACATAACATTTTTACATGTAAAAATATCTGTATAGGGTTTTAGTATAGAATAACTTCAAACTGTGTGCTTTGATTGTTACGTTTTTTTTTTCGCTTTTTTTTTTTTGTTTTTATTGAAAACAAAGTTTTCCCAAAGTATATTATGGTATGCTACTAAAATTTATACAGTCATCCAGAGGTAAATTGAATATTATTTATAAATAATATTCAAAAAAAGAGTTATGAATTTTAAAATAATAGATGGAGATACACTAAGTCCTCGAGATACGATATTGTTTGAACATAAAACTTTAAATCGTTTGCCGAATTGTAGCAAAAATTCTGTTTTTTCAAGTCTTTATTAATAATGAAAAATAATTAAATTAAATAAAAAAATGAAATTGTATAAATTAGTCAATTATTTGGATTCTGTTTACAATTAACTTTCAGATGTTAAAAGGCCCTTATTAATTATGATCGGCAAAGTGAATGTAGTTTTTGGCCGATATAAATTTTTGGTATTATGATTAAAACGAACCAAAAACAATTCAAGTATTTCAATATATTAATGAACAACACCTCCGACATTGCTAAATAGGAAAATTCAATAATTGTTTTTTGCAAAAACACAAAAAACAATGTACATATGTGTGATGTTAACTTCATTATTTTCGGTACGTTTTCTGATGTCTTGCGGTAGCAACATTTTGAATGTGGCAAATGAAAGCAGCATTCGCCGATCATAACTTAAAATATTATTCGATTCGCCTAGTCCATTCGACTCGGCTAGCAGTTCGCTTTGCCAATTATAATAATGGTAAAGTGTGATCTCTCGAGATTTATATCAAATTTATCAAAATTATCTAGAGTTTTACTTATATACTCTAATCCTTCTACTATGCTAACTTTGAGAATTCAAATGTGTTCAAATAATTTTGTTCGTCGTTATTATCTGATTCGTGATTCAAATTCAAAACTTTTTAATGTCGTATGCATGAAATTTATGTCGCAAGTTGAAAAAAAAAATGCCTTAAATTAAAATTAGAAATGTCATATTAGGAGAAAGCGTATCTCGGGGAATTAGTGTACATTATTAAGAATACACGATTCAATAAATTAATATGTATAGGTATTAGAATATATAATAAAAAAAGTTATGTTTAATATAAAAACGTGTGATACATCAAATATTATTTGAATATAAATAAATAATTTTTTTTTTGTTTTATATTTGTTATTTAACTTTTTTATTTTTAATTTAACTTTATTTTTAATTTTCAACTTTATACTCAATAATAATAAATGATTTATTCATGTAAGTATAAAATTTATATAATAATTTTGTTGTCAATTTGCATATATAGATTTACACCACAATACAAAGACTGTGATGTGGTCAGTATATAACCGAACACAATACTTATTGTGGAGTTTAGCTGTAGTGCGCCAAAAAATTGTGAAAATAGCCAGAAGATTATAATACTATAGTAATGTGATGGTCAGAAGATGTACTACAGAGCCTGATATACCCGTAAAGTTGATCAATCCGTGACATAGCCAAAATAAATTCATAAAAATCGGTTTAGCCGAACTTGAGATACACTCGTGGACACACAGACCGAAAAACAGATCGACATCTCTCTAAAAACAGTTTATTAACGCTTTCCTACTACATAGAGTAGTGCATTCCCATTGAAAACTTGATAACAGAAATTTGATGCCATCACAGCACCTCCATAATTGTATGCAATGCAGTCGGTTAAAAATCAATTATAATTCACCATGAGATGAATTACACGAGTTTATAAGTATTGAGTTTGATTATAACTTTGATTGAATTTGAAAAACTTCCAAATCTTATTCCGGAATATTCTTATTCTGGAACAGTGTTAGTATTTTTATTATGCAATATTTATTATGATATAGTTTTTAAAAGTAAATTTAAGTTTTCCTTATAAAAATGTTAATTTATATATGAATAATTTTTAAAAATAATTTCATATGAATAGTTATACAATCTTTAATTTTTTATATATAATTTTTAAGTTTTTTTTATAGCAAATTGTTGATCTAATTTCGGATTTCCGTATATTGGTCAATTGTAATCGAAAATATCCACATATTTCAAACTTGAAAAAGTTTTATAAAAATTCAATTTGTTATATTATTTTCCAAAAATTTTCCAATATCTGAAAAAAAAGAAAAGAGTTTTTCCCAACTTCATCTAATAATTAATATAGAGCTCAAATGATTTGATCTTTATTGTTTCAAAAATTGGTCTCCATTTTTGAATAAAATTCTCATTTCAAAAACCAAACTAAGAAACGTTGGTATAAGTGCTCAAAAAGCTCATTTAGTATTATTTTGCAAATCGCTTGTACTGACAAATTTAAATTTTTGAAATATTGGATTTTATAACTGTTATATTGATAAATATAACTATATTCTTTTCGATTAACAACATTAATTATATATTCACGGACATTGAAATTACATGATTATAAAACTCGACTTATTATACGTGTTAATATTACATGTTATATTATGTACAAGTATTATATCACTTAAAAGTATAACAGTTATAATTATGTATATATGTAAAATACATATGTATTTTTTTCCACTGATTTTCCATTTGGTATAAAAGAATTATTTTATAAATTTTCTAAAATTTTCTTTTGAATATGTGTTCGATTTTTGGTGGGTTAATTGTCTACCCATATTTCATATACTATATCCCACAGTGCAGATATTAATATTTTTTATGAAATTCCTTATATAGAAATAAATATTCAAATATTTTATTAAGATATTCATTGAGTTAAGGTTTGAGTATGCTCATCTCCTATATATATAGGATATTTATTTTGAAAAGCAATGTTATATGTATTCCGGCAGTAGCCTTACAATTGAAACCCAATTCTCCAGGTAAAGTTTTTGTTTTTCTCCGCGTCAAATTTTCGAATTGATATTAATATTAATATTGCGTATCCATAATTGTTGGCATAATGGGTATAACATGCGTCTTCCGTATTGTTTATAGTCAACTAAATTCATCTATTTCAAAAATGGGCAACAGATTATGGGTCACATTACTGAAAATAGTATAACAGTTTTAGTATAATTTCATTGGGAGAATTAATAACTTACCATTTTAAGTCTTTAGAAATTTCCTATTAATTCCAATCATAAAAATACATATATATGTACATCAAGCTGTATTACAAACTGAAATAGAAAATCTTAAACAATATTCCAAAAAAATAAAATTATTAAAATAATTTATTTGTTTTAGGAAACACTTAAATAATTTTACATTATGGGTTTGATTATATGCTTAATGTTCAAAATGTACCCTGGAGGATTTTTATTGAAAAATAATGACGTCTTTAGCTTGTTTAAATGCGTATAGTATAATGGAAAAGCGATGAGAGGTTATGTTTTGTTATTAATGAAATCATAATTTAATTAAGGAAATAAAAAAAAAGCATAAAGTTTTTGTGTATATTTTAACAAAAATTTCAAGGTTAAGTAAAGAATTAAGAAAGTGAATTTCTTTTTGGGAATTTTATTTATTTTTACATTTAAATATAATTAAATATTCATTGCTAGAAGTTCAAAAAAAAATTCTATCAATAATTAAAAAATTTGGGATTATTTTCAAAATAAGGCACTGTTTATATTATGTAGTATTATAATTGTGATTATATAACAATAATATTATGATGATTATGATGCTCTATGTAGGATTGAAATGGACGAATCGGCAATATTTAAAATTTTAAGCTATTTTTATCCTTTTCGCATTATGGTTTTTTTTCGCCTTTAAGTCAAAAGGAATAATTTGTTGGTATTATATTTTACCCGTTTTGGAAACTTTATAACAACAACTCGAATATCCTTTATTCTAATTAAATTTGT